TCCAGTTGGCAAAGAAATATCGAGATTAGCCCAATCGATGTGAGGAAAATTGAAGTCGCCCAAGATTAATAGTTTCTTTCCGTACCTCACGAGAGTTAACTTTGTCTAAGAAGGTCGTGAAGTCCCCAATAAAACCAGATGAATGAATATCAGGAGGCCGGTAAAACACAGCAACGATAAGATTTGGTGAATTCGACGACTCAATTTCAATCGCAACCATTTCAAGTTGATCAAGTTCCAAGTCGCAACGACGATATGAAGAACATTTATTGTTCACAGCAAGCAAAACTCCGCCACCTCTCCTGCCGTCTGAACGATCTCTACGGTAACAAGTATAAGGTAAACCAGCGGTGATCTCAGCATCATGTATATCAGCATTAAGCCAAGTTTCCGTCACGGCCAAAATGTCAAAATCAAACACAGACATCAGTACCTGGAATTTGGCAAGCTTGCTCCGTAAAGAGCGCGCGTTTACTAAACCAAATTTTAACGAGTTTTGAGACCGTCCAGGTCCAGGATTTGTTTCAATATCACCAGATAACAAAATAAACCACATTGAGAAAGATGCATGTATAAATAAACGACATCCGAGCATGATTTTTGTAGAATTGTCAAGGATTAGCGATTTGGCCGTTGACTTACGCACGCGACCGTTATTTTTAAAAACCATGATTTTCACCACTGTAGACTCCTTGGCCAAGAACAAAAGCTTGTGGTTGAACAATGACGTTAATGTAACGCATTCATAATGAGATAATCCAAGAAAAACAATATGGACATACAGAAAAAACAACAATTTATGGAAGTTTAAAAACATCCGCCTAACCGCCATCGCTGATGACGAAAAAAACCCTCCAAATAGTTTTTAAAAGATTCTTTCTAACACCGTGAAGGGAAAAGTCCTAATGTAATATTCATCTGGCATTTCATAATATTTAAATCAAAAGTATTTTCAGCCCTATATCACGCTATATAAACACAGTAATTTACTTTTAATGCGTGAAAATTCAATAGCAAATGCCAGTTATGAGAAAGCTACTAAACAAATAATTCATTGACATTGTGTTATAACAACACGTTTAAAATAATAAAAGCTAATGATACGTGCCCAAATTTTTTGCCATGGTTACTTTGTACACAAATTAGTTGCCATAAACATTAACCCAATGTTACTTTCAGTTCTTCAATAATGTAAAATAGGATCAGTCTATTAATTAATGAACATGCAGATGGTAAACTTTTATTGAACCGACAAACTGCAAACTAGAAACGAATTACGTTATGGAACAACCACAAATTCTTTTCATACCGCGCGAGAAATCGTCAAAAAACGTTAGACTAGTGATAGGGCATTAAAGTTGGGTAACAGTCGGTAATTTAAACAAAGTTTTGTATACATTTTGAATCTACAGGGTATCTTCAAAAAATACGAAAGCTATTGAAATTGCATGCTCAACTTATGAAATGCTAAATACGAAAAATTTGAAATTGTGAATATGATATAAAAGTTTAAATTAGCCTTTTATTGCATGCTTCCAAAGAAAATGGTACAGTTGACCGCGAAACAACGAGTGTTTATTGTGATAAATTATATACGCCTACCCAAAGTACAACGGAAGTACGAAACGCTTTTCGACAAAGGTCGACAAAGAACAAATTATTGTAAACATTGTTGATAAATATTTTTGTGTACAAATAAATTTTACTGCATCATGCATAAAAATGCTTATGGCAAACATTTATATCCCAACAGAGAACATAGGCATTCGATCGCGAACTATGACAATTACATATTGTTATTGGTGATTTCAACGTAATTTTCGTTTTTTTTGAGACACCCTGTATATATCTCCTAAAATATCAAGAAATTTCTTTTAGTTCGCTATACTTTAAATGAATATGGGAGAGAGTATATTTTCAGAGATATACCAAACATGCGAAATTTGAGCAATTTTGAAACTGGTAGACAACCATTGTTATAAGCAGAACTGATGCGCAGAAGAGACTATAAAGCCCTTTAAAGGGTACAGAGACTCTGGCGAGTGAAAACAACGCAAAGATTTTCCCCAAATATCCACCGTTAGCTTTTAGTTCCCTAGAAATTTTTAGGAGTCCCGTATCACAATTTTCCCTCAAAAGAAGTTCCCCTTTTAAAATATAGCTCTAGTTGAGATTTAAATCGCCGACGTTGCCGGCATAATAATACCAGGGCTCATAATAGTATACCAAAAATTAATGTTTATCAGTGTAATGATAAGAATATTTTCCTGAGGTGAAAGATAAAATAATTCAAAGAGGCAAAGCGGAGATTTTTTCCATTGCACAAATGAAAACATTCATTTTTTGTTTATTCAATAGTACGTGTTCAAAAACAACCAATTAAAATAGGTGTTATATAATACATAATAATTATCAGATTATAATTGGTCTTGAACTGTTTCACTGTTTTGTATTTTATATTACTATGCAACAAAATAATGCAACAGTTCTTACAAGTGTATCATTATTTTAGGATTTCAATACTACCAATCGTGCTTTAGAAAGTTCGTTGATCCGAGCATTGCGTCGCTTTTTTAATCTACCATAATTATTATAAATCGACAATCTATCAATGAATACACAATTGCGTTGTTAATTTAATGCATGAAATTAAAACCAAGTGCACCTATCAAAACGTCCGGTTGCCCACTGGATCAGTCGGTAGATCACCAATAAATTCCACCAGTATTTCTCCAGTCACATTATTCACGCTACAAACGTTTAAATTGCGCTTAAGTTTTGATTTCAAGGCCAGGTCATTGGCTGTTTTTTGCGCGTCGCTGTTCTTAGTCCAAATCATATCGAAAAGAAACGGTATTGATGTAGCAACCATTGTGGTGAGGATCTTAGAATTACTCGACACGCCAGAGCTTTGAGATAGCGCCAGGAAAAGAAACAGCAAATAAGCGAATAATACAACCAAAAATACCTTAGCGAAAAAAGGTACCAAAATTTCGTCGTATGGAAGAAGCGTCTCTCGGACAATATCGTATAACGGCTTGGGAATGACAGGCTCGCCGTTTTTATCCAACTTAATCACGAAACTGTGGGTAACGTCCGACGACGTAACTGACCGAAAACTGTCGCAGCTCTCATGGTCGCTGGAATGTATTTCAGGGCGGGTACATTCACAACCATGCAGAATAGAATTTTTCTTGCTATAAATTTGTAAATACTTGTATTTAATTCAAGATATTTCGCTGCAACAGAAGACCTCCAATTGCTCCAGGAATAAACTAAGACGAGGGAGAGGGGAACAAAATATGTACTGTAATGTCCTGCGTTTAGATATAAACCAGCGATGAAGTAGAACAAGAGAACTAAACATTTCATAAAAGAACCGAGTATTAGCAGGAAGGTCAAAGCTGAACCGAAACAATTTGCGCGAAATTATGCAATATTAAATTTTGATTCGTTTAAGTCTTTCTTTTCGTCGCGACGCCTCGAAAAAGATGGATTGCCAGAAATTTGATGTCGATAATTGTTGTGCAACCTTAGCGCTTGGGATGAGGTTGTGGCCTTATGTTGTGAAAATGATGAAATATACGCCTTAAACAAAAATTTAGTGAGGAAAATACCTCCACCAATGCACAATTCAAACGGCAAAAAAAAAAGATATAGGATTAGTAAAATCACAATTGATAAACAATATTTGAACACATCGATACGACTGACATCCTGTTTTCCACTGCTTCTTGTTTGGCCTTGGGATTCAACTTCACGCGATAATAATCTAGCGCGCTCGGTAACTTGAGCATTGGTCGCCGATTGTTCATTCGTTGAAGTACAATCAAGGCTTTGCTTGAAGTGTCGACGGAGAAATGGATTCTTCCTCGCTTCTTTACGCCAAAATTTTACATTGAAAGGTAAAGCAATGATCCTTTTAAAACTTTCCCTTACAAGGAAACTTGTCTTGGGATTACGGTGATCAAATTGAATCCTAGCGTCTTGTTCATTGATGTTGTATATATCAAAAAACAGAAGAAGTAACACCCAAGACGAACAGATTAGCGGCACCAAGAAAAGCGAGGTGTAAGAATTTGCATTTAAAGGGTAATTTTGATCCCATTTTGGGAACAATGTTAAAAGAGTTAACACCGAAATTAATAGTTTTCTTCCAAGAGACTTCACTGGGCCATGGCCATCAATAAATATTATGTGAAATATCGATGAAAGTGACATTGGGCTGTCAGAAATTTTGTATGTCGTGCGTTCTTTGGGGAAGGAGCTTAAATACATGATCATTTGAGGAAAAACAATCAAAATGAAAGCAATGAAGGCCACACCAAACATACCGGTAGAATAATCCAACAAAGTTATTGATGAAAAGTCCGAACAGATGATTACGCGATCCAGTAACCTGCAACAAGTACAGTACGCCGTTTTCTTGTTCCAGAGGCACAATTTGTAATCAAAACGATCGTCATTGACGCGGTCATGGGGGTACAGTTGGTGGAGTAGAAAACTGAAAACAAAGTCAGAGGCATTCTTTCCTGAAAGCAATAGGCATCCTTCGGTCATTTCGGCGACAACAATATCCAGGGTTTCGACACCAGCATTTAATGTACTTGTATAGGAGGATAAAAGCATCGATGGAAGATTTTCGGCTTCTGTGATTAATGAAATTAACGTACGACCGATTTCGTTTGCCCAAGTCAACTGTTCACGAATTTGAACAGTCTTAATCAGGCAGAGGATTTTGAATCTATCCCGGTACAAAACAAGTCAAAAATATATAAAAAGAAACGGTTTATTCTTGAAACACACTATGTCGTACAAAAAATGTCTTTTTCAACCACACTTAATTATTATGCTCGCGCCCAGTTTTTTTTGTTCGCGTCGCCCCATTCCCCCGTGCAACTTTGGGGTATGGGATTAACTATAAATTCCAAAACATCCCCCTCCCGAATGTGATCACATTCGTAACAGAGTCAAAATATCAATAAGGTTAGCAAGTTTAATTATTGTTTGTCGCTTTCGTTCCCGTTGTCCCGTTCTAGCGGACACAGCCGGTGTACAGGACGGATATATTCGTTGTCTCCTACTCGAATCTTTACGACTCTGATAAGTCCATCACCTCCTCGATAGATTTCCTGGATACGTCCTAGAGGCCATTCATATCGCTTAGCGTTTTGATCCACCACCAAAACAACATCTCCGGGTTTGAGCTCTCTCTTCGGTTCGAACCACTTTCCTCTTACGTTGAGGCTTGGGAGGAACTCTTTACGCCATCTTTTCCAGATCTGAGCGATTAGTTGTTGAAGACGTCTCCAACGTTTCTTGGGGTTAAAGGCTTGTTCGGGGGTGACGTCAGGAGCGAATTGTCCACCTAGTTGCCCAACCAGGAAGTGGCTAGGAGTCAGCGGTTCCAGGTCGTCGGGAGTTGAGCTGACATAGGTGATTGGTCTTGAATTAAGGAGTCCTTCTGCTCCACAAATCGCTGTATGTAATTCTTCGTCGGTAATGTCAGCGTCTCCTAAAATTGCTCTCATCGCCTTCTTTGCACTCTTAACCATACTCTCGAAGACTCCTCCAAAATGTGGAGAGGAGGGGGGGTTGAATTTCCACTCGATTAACTGGTGTCGAGTCGTCTTATTCATTATCTTCTGCTGATCGAAGCTCTTGACTTTTTCTCGTATTTCCTTCTCTCCAGCCACGAAATTCGTCCCGTTGTCCGAGATAACATAAGAAGGCGTCCCCCTCCGTGCACATAACCGCACAAATGCGTTTATAAACGAATCGGTGTCTAAGCTGTACGCCATTTCCAGGTGGACTGCGCGGGTAGTTAGACAGGTAAACAGGCAAAGGTATCGTTTCATCCGCGGCTTCCCACGTCCTTGTTTCGTCAGAAATGGTCCGGCGAAATCTGTGCCAATTCGCTCAAATGCTCTTAAGGGTAAAGTTATTCTTGAAGTAGGCAGGGGAGCCATTTTTTGACCACAAGGCTTCGTGAGGAATCTTCGTCTGCATCCAGGACATTTACCAATTAGGGTTCTAACTGTCAATCTTCCTTTTATAATCCAAAATCTCGAACGAAGTTCTGTCAGGAGGTATTCTGTTCCCGTTCCGTGTCCGATCTTTTCGTGAGCAGCAAGTATAACCAGTCGGCTTATCGGATGATCTTTAGGCAATATGATTGGATGTCTTGTGTCGTAAGGTAAATCTTCAGCAAGGCGGAGGCGGCCATCCACTCTTAATATGCCTTCTTTGTCGACTATAGGGCAGAATTTCAATAGGCGTTTGTCCTTTTGTTTGTTGACGAAACTTTCGGCTTGTGCTTTTCGGATCCAGAATAGTTCCGCTGTTTTAATCTCGACGTTTTGCAGAACAATAGATGTATCTCGTGAATTTATCGGGGACTTACAATTCTTGATAAAACGTTTAACCCAGGCCGTAACTCGAATAAGGCGGGTCATAGATGAATAACGTTTTGGATCCAGGCGGCTGTCGTCACTGGCTTCCTTATCCGTTGTATAAACTTGGACTTTCTTTTCTTCTTGTTTTATCGTGCCACTACATGGACCGTGATTCGATAATTTCTCTGGCAATGGTTTTTCTTCATCCGTCAAAAACTCTGGTCGTTTCATCCATAATTTGTCTTCACAAAGGTTGGTTGCTGAAAGTCCACGAGTTGGTAGGTCGGCTGGATTTATTCCACCAGGTATGTGTCGCCATTGTTCTGGGTTGGAATGTCTCTGTATCTCTGCCACTCGATTGGCCACAAATGGCTTGAATGCACGGCTCTGGTTACGCACCCAATACAGGACGTTCGTTGAGTCCGTCCAGTACGTTGCTTCATTGACTGTCAATGTCTGGAGAATGCTGTTGGCCAGTCGGGTAGCGAGTACTGCTCCCATGAGTTCCAGTCTTGGGATAGTAACTGACTTTAGTGGCGTGACACGACTCTTGGATGCGACGATCCGTGAGGTGGCTTCGTGATCTTCGTAATTACTGACAAGATAAGACACTGCTGCGTAAGCATCTTGGGATGCGTCTGAGAAGGTGTGCAACCAGACGTCCGTAGGTCCAGGTAAGCGTAGAGGGCGAGGGACTTCGAATCCGTTTAAGTCGCTCAGTTCATTTACCCAATTGTTCCATTCGTTGCACAAATTTTCTGGCATTTTGTCTTCCCAACCAATTCCAGCTGCCAATGTCTTTTGCAACAATAATTTCGCTCGTATAGTGAAGGAAGCCAAAAACTGTAATGGATCAAACAGCTTTGCTATACTACTTAGGACTTCTCTTTTGGTCGGGCCTTCAGTCAGCGATGGAGGGTGAACCACGAACTTGAAGATATCTTGCCGGGCATTCCACAGAACTCCCAGGGTCTTCAACGTCGGCAGGCTACCATCACTGAGCTCTAATCCGGGAAGACGATCTTCAACAGGAACATCTTTGATAACATCAGCCTGGTTTGACATCCATTTCCTCAAATTGAAGCCTGCGCCAGACACCAACTCGGATGTTTGTTGTCTAAGGGTTATGGCTCCTTGAACCGTCTCGCAAGAGTCCAGCACATCGTCCACGTACATTGCATTATCCACTGTATCTGCGGCTTTCGAGAAGTGATCTTTATTCTTCTCCGCGTGGGAGTGAAGTACATATTGTGCGCAGAATGGTGAAGAGGTATTTCCGAATGGTAGACGCTGGAACTCGTAAATTTCGGGTTCTCTTTCTTTGTTCAAATCACGTCAAAGGAAGCGATGAAAAGGTTGATCTTTCTCGGCAAGTCCGACTTGTAAGAACATCTGAGAGATATCTGCTGACACTGCCACGGGTTCTCTTCGGAACCTCGTTAACACGTCTACCAATTCTCGTTGGAGCTTGGGCCCAGGGTGAAGCGCGTCGTTCAGACATTTGTTTTTGTGCTTCGCTGCCGCATCAAAGACGATTCGAACTTTGGTCGACGTTTTCTCCTCATTGATCACCGGAAAGTGCGGCAACAACCACTGGTCACCCGTTTTCTTTGGTACTTTCTTGATGTACTCTTTTTGGAGGTAATCCAGGATTATCTGGTTGTAGGCCATAGCGACATCCGGTTTCTTTCGTAGGGATGACTCCAGCTTCAGTAGTCTTGAATGAGCCATGTCGTAGTTGTCGGCGAAATCTGGCTCACCGTCTCTCCAAGGAACACCTACTTCATATCTCCCGTTGGTGTAATTTTGGGTTGATTGCACAATTTCAACTGCCTTTTTCTCGTCTGGTGTCAGTGGTCGAACGTTCTCGTCCTTAATGCCGATGGCTTCTAGTTCCCAAAAACTCCGAAGATTGTCACTTACTTCTTGGATATCTTCGGTATGGTATGTACGTGTCATGTGGGATTGGGTAGTCCATGTCGACGGGTTCTTACTCGTTGGACCGAAGCAGACCCAACCGAGGGGCGTTTGTCGTGCTACTGGGTCTTTGGCATTGTGTCCCGTAACTTCTCTTAATACTTTATGGAATACAGGGTGATCGCTTCCGATTAAGACATCGATCTGCTTTCGCTTTGAAACTCTTTCAAATGGGATGGTCTCCAAGTGTGCCCAATTGCCTTTAATTCGTTCCACTCAATTGCCGGCGTGTTCCCCGTTACGTTAGTTAACACATTTGCTTCCACAGGCGATGAGAAGGTTCCATTGACGGATGTGATCACACACTTTACACGTTTCGACTGTCTCTTAATCTCCGTCCCACCAGTTCCTGATATGGTCAAATCCTGTTTTTCTCCTTTCAAGTGCAATTCTCCCGCTAGGCTTTCGGTGACGTATGATCCCGTGGAGCAAGGATCCAGCATAACATTGATTTTTATCTTCTTGCCGCCAATTTCGACAGTTGCTGGGAGAACCATCAATGATATTTGTTCAACTCGGTTTGTCGTATAGGTTCTTGCATCTGTCCCTCCAATTGAAGGATTGGTCTGATCTTTGTTGTTGCCATTATCTTCATTCTGTTTTTCCATTCTCTCAGGGTCGTGTAACAAGCTGCTATGTCCTTTACTTTCACATCCGCTGACTCCACATTTTCTCTTTCTGCCACACTGCTTACTTCGGTGACCAGCCGCTAGACAAGAGAAGCACCGTCCTGTTTTAGCTATTAGTTGATTTCGTGTAGCTACAGGGAGCTTTTTAAATTCTGGACAAACCCAAGGCGGATGATCAGCGTCGCAATTCATAACGATACATTTCCTAACTTTCTTATCTGTATTAAAGCCTTGATTATGACGTCGTCCTCCATGGTACGCTTTGACGAATTCTCCCGTTTCTTTCTTAGCCTCATCCATGATGCAAACACGCCTCTCGATCTACTGGACCAGCATTTTAAAATCATCATCTTCATCCCGCTCATTTAACCAATACTTGTATTCTCTGACGTATTCCACCGGAAGTTTTTCCTTCACTGTTAAGCAAAGGTGCTGACTTCTAATTTCATCATCGCCACGATCATCGTCTTGTAATGCGATAAGAATACGGTCTAGCGTTGACAACAAGGTTTCTAATTCTTCCAGGTTATGGCGTCGTACTTTGGGTAGTGCTCTTAAGGTTGCCAAATGTGTCAGGGTCTGTCTACGTTTACCACCGTACTTGCGTTGTAACTTTTCTTTCGCTCTCTCGTACGCATGCTGAGTGAATCCAAGGTCCTTGACCGTCTCTAACGCTTTTCCTTTCAGGCAGTTCTGCAGCCGTAGCATTTTCTTCTTTACTGGCATGTTGGTCTCATCAACAACTGATGTGAAGGCCGCGTTCCACGCCTCGAAATCGGTTTTATCATCTCCAGAGAAGTTTCGCAGCTCTACGCCTTTTAGTTTTACTCGTGTATAAGATGGGGGATCGGGATTAGGACGAGATAGGCACGTTTTAATAGGTTCCGGATCGTCCGTCACAGATGTTGCCTTTTTGCTATTCTTGCTGTATGCTTTCGCCCTTGTTTCATTTAAAAGGGCAATGGATCGTGCATCCTCGACTCTTTTTCGATTGAGTTCAACTTCATCTGCTTTCTTTCGCATTTCTTCCTCTAGAGACCTCTGCTCTTCCTCTAATTTTTCTAGTCGTTCATTAGCATCCCTTGCTTCTTGTTCTCGAACTTCAACAATTGAGTCCTCTTTCACTGACTTTGGGATCTTATCATTTGAGGAACTGGTTATGTTTGATTTCACGGATGATTTACTTGATTTTATTGTTGACGAGTCCGATTCATTTTCGCCCTTCAATAATCGCTCTCGGATATGCTCATTAGCAGCCTGGACACTAGTGTCCACTAAATCTAAAATTTCCAAGAGTTCCTGGTCTAAGTTTTCAATAACATTATCAATTTCAATCCCTTCCAATGTCTCGTTTTCACTTAATGTGACTGTCTCTTTTAATGCCTGGATTAATTTTTCAACAATGTCTCGTTCAGCAATCACTTTCTTTATTGCTCGTCTAATTTCTGTCTTAGAACTTGGGTGTCCTGTGGTCATCGCATCAATGTGATTTCTCGCCTTAGTTAGTCTACATTTTGCTGTCTTTTTTCTGCTTTTCAAAGTCAAATATCTTGATGATTTCACGCCTACCTGACTATTAACGACCTCTTCTATATTTTGATTACTCACTTGGCCACTATCCAGTCCCGTATTTAACGTATTTTCAGCATCTTCGTCGGCCTCGGCCATAGTCGCTCGCTTCAAAGTCGAAGTTTTTCCGCCGAAATGACTCAAGAATCCTCGAATAAGATCCGGCTCGAAGGACCAATTGTTCACGAATTTGAACAGTCTTAATCAGGCAGAGGATTTTGAATCTATCCCGGTACAAAACAAGTCAAAAATATATAAAAAGAAACGGTTTATTCTTGAAACACACTATGTCGTACAAAAAATGTCTTTTTCAACCACACTTAATTATTATGCTCGCGCCCAGTTTTTTTTGTTCGCGTCGCCCCATTCCCCCGTGCAACTTTGGGGTATGGGATTAACTATAAATTCCAAAACATCAACCGTGGTAGCACATAAGTTAACTTCGCCTTATTATTAAACGTTTCGATCCAAACATTCAATCTTATCGCACTCTTACCGCGATGAGCCAATTGCAGGACTTCCTTTAGGGATGCCGTTACGTAGTTTCGATAATCGATCTGCAGACGGCAGTTTGTCGATGAATTGTTTGCTGGATTTCCAATTACTATGGATTCAACTTTATCGCTTCGGTAAAATACTGGAAAACTTCGGTTGTTTGGAATGGCTTTGGACAACTCACTGCACGCAATCACCATCAGCACGAATATTTTGGCCGTCATTTTTTAACTCCACAATATCATGCTAAAATAGCATCGTTAATTAGTGACGTTATAAGTTGGGAACATGTATAAATATTTAGTGAAAAGACTTTCTGGTAACTATGTCTTACTTCTTACTTTCTGGTAACTATATGGTTGTTAATACTGTATATATGGATTAATTAGCTGTAAAGATACCATCGCGGGTAATCCAGGGCTATACCTAGGCTCCAATAGGTGGAAGGGGGGATAAAATTATCCAAACGTTATTTAGTTTTTTAAACATAATTTACCTTGAAAATTGTAGGAAAAAACAAATGAAAGTGCCGAACATCACTGCATTATGCATTGCATCAAACGACGTTCGGTCAGTGCATGAACTACGACCGAACTCGGTTTGCCTCGCTCACTCCCCCCCCCCGTTTTATTTGCACTATTTCTCGCTAATATAAGCTAAATATGGCTGACGCACCTTGTCGCCAGGCCTCCAGCAAACGCTCCCACTTTTATAAAGGACAAAGTAGACTGAGAAAATAAACCAGGCCCTCAAATAACCAAAACTAACTTGAATTATCAGTGGTTCAATCTCGGAGTTTGCAAATATCAAAAGATAAAAGAAATGGTAAAAGATTTGTACAAAATAGTACCGGCGCGTACAACCCAGACGTACCGAACTGGACACTAACCACTTGGTAACTCGACCACGTGTATGCAGCTGGAAAACTCGCTAATTTAACGTGGAATATATACAGTGGCAATTTATAGAAAAAGCATACGCGTGGAAGCAGTGATAACGAGGTGCTCTTACATATCTGGAAAAGCCTTGACCTTCTATACAAGAGTTAGGAAATACGCTAATGGAATTATTATCTTGATATTAACGTTTTCAAACCCTTACTGATAACTGTGTGGCAGCAATTCCAGAATCATCTTTGCCATGTCCGTTAAAATACGTAGCCACAGAGCTGAATCCAGTAGACAAAGCATCTCGAAGAGGGAGTGCAAAGGGTTGCGCGACTGCTACGGTTTTAGAACACTTATTGTTTTAATGTGAATAGTTTGTTTAGTACTTTATGTTATTTAGTTAAATGGATGAACTTGCCGAAAGGCTTCATGGGAAACACATGCATTTTGATTTAAAGCATGCAACTGAGTTTTCGAAGGTTTATGTCAAAATATATTGTCGCTTTAATCCTACGAGATTTTCATGCCTTATCTGGACATTCAGGTATAGAGCACGTAAAACGGTTTGGGTTTCTTTTCACCTGCCTGGAAAGTTGCGCGGTTCATGTTAAAGTAGCTT